TTCACTTCTTTTCCTCTCACTCTCTTCTAAGCCATCTGCAATCTGACTTCTGATCTCATCACTCAAGTGTAACTGTTTTTCTCAAAGTTACCAATAATCTCTAACTTGCCATATTTAATGGCCTTTTCTCAATCCTTATCCTTCTTGACTTTATTGCAACACCACGCTATTGTCACCTTCTCTTCTTAGGTACTTTTTCCTCTCTGGGTTTTCCTGATATTGCTTTCTGCTATTCTCCTACCAGTCTCATTTGCTGACTATCCACCTGTTTCATTCCCATAAACTGTGTGGCCCCAATCCCCTAGGCCAGGGGTGGGGAACCTGCAGCTTCAAGGCCACATGGCCTTCTAGGTCCCTGGGTGTGGCCTTTAGACTGAGTCCAAATTTTACAAAACAAATTATTTTTATTAAGGGGATTTGTTCTGTAAAGTTTGAATTTGGTCAAAGGGCTGCACTTGAGGACCTAGAGGGCCACATGTTCCCTACCCCTGCCCTAGGCCCTCTTCTGTTTTCCAGCTAAACTCTCTAGTTAGTGATTCTCTCATCCCATAAGGCACAATTATCACCTCCAGGCAGATGACTATATCTAGTCCTAGCCTCCCAGGAGAGCAATAGTCCCAACTCTATATCCCACCAGAAACTTGGAATCCACCCCTTCCCCCCATCCCCTCCTCCTCAGCTCTGGGAGGCGAGCTTTTTGCCTTATTTTAGAGGGGCCAACCTCAGACGGCACCTTCCTGAAATCCTTTCAACACACCTCTAAGCAAGTACACTTTGGCCGGGCCCCCTTCCAACCTCTCTTTTTTTGGCTCCTCTCCTCAACCTCCCCTCTTTTCTAGCAAGTTCCTGAGGGTAGGAGCGTCTTTGCTTGCTGGTATTTATATCCTAGGCACTTAGCACAGTGCTTTGCATACTGTAAGTGCTTGATAAGTATTTTAGCATTCTGTCAATGAAAGTCCCCTAGGGATTTTGAACTCCAAAACACTATTCATTATCTTTTCCCCCAAACCTGTCCCTCTTCTAAACTTACCTATTACTGTGGAGGGCGGGCACCACTATCCTTCCATTCACCCAGGGCTAAATCATACTTGTCATCCTCAGGTCTTCATTGTAGCTCATCCCTCATGTCCACTCAGTTGCCAAATCTTTTAATTTCTTTTTCTACAACATCTCTTGCATTCATCTGTTTCTCTTTACTCACACAGCCACCACCCTGGTTCAGGTCATCAACACCTCTGGCCTGGATTACAGTAATAGTCTTCTAATTGGGACTTTCTCAAGTCTCACCTCAATCCAATCCATCCTTCACTCAGCTGCCAAAGTGAATCTTCTAAGGCCTAAGTCTAACCATGTCACCCTTCCAATCAATCAATTCCAAATGAGACCTTTTACCTTTAGATCAAATATAAACTCCTCTGCAGGTCATTTAAGTCCCTTCATAGCCTGGCACTTCCCTATCTTTCTAATCTTTTAACACATGACTCTCTTCTATTAGGTAGCTACTCCAGCCATACTGGCCTCCTTGCTATTCTTCACAAACAACACTTCCTCTCCCATTTCCAGGCCTTTGCACTGACTGGCCCTCATTCCCTCCCCTCCTCCCTAACATCTGGCTCCTTGAATCTTTGGCTTCCTTGGAGAGCCAGCTCAATCTTTTCTTACCCCTTCAGCTGCTCAGAATGCAAATGTAAATGTTGCCTCTCAGATTAGCTGGCAGGCTCCAAGAGGACAAGAACTGGATTTGCTTTTATTTGTATCCCTAGTGTTTAGCACAGCACCTGGAGTATAATCAGTACTTAACAAGTGCTGGTAGATTGACTGACAACTTCCAGTTGTTATCCAGCTTACAATACTTTCTAGAAAGCAATGTTACAAGTGCAAAGACAACAGGTAGAGTACTTAGACTGTACAATGCTTATGTTCAAAATTTCATTATAAATTGGTTATTTGGAGTTTGGAAAGCATTTACACATAGAAACAATTCTATAAATGAGGATTTGGTTCCAGACTAGCCCAATTTAAATCCTATTTAATCTATAACAAAGCTGAAATACTGTGTTAACAATTAAAATCCGTGGAAAAATGAGTGTTTCAACACTAGTAAACAAGTGAAAATGAATGACACTGAATAAGAAATTTCCTTAATTTATCTCAAGTACCCCCCACCTTTTTTTGAGGAAACCAGGTTTAATTAGAAATTGTTCTGTAAGAATTCTGAAAGGGGGTGAGGAAACCAGAGATTTTCCCAAGGTAACTTGACAAAAATTAGAAGACCATTGATTGGTTAATAGAATTTAGAGTTAGAAGATATTTCTGTGATCTATCTAATAGACTCATTTTGCAAAAACTAAGAGTTGAAATTAAATGGTTTGCACAAGGTCACATACATTGGCAGCAAGTATCCAAATCCAGGATGCTCTTTCCACTATAGAAAGAAGCCATGTTTTCATCTATGAAAAGGAGATTGCCTAAGCTTAAAATTAACTGACCTTTGAAGACAGAGAAATGAAAAACAGGGCATGGGAAAAAATGGGAAGGATGTGGGGGAAGGGGTAGAATCATAAACAATAATGTCTGGAAATGGAAGTGATCTCAGTTGCCATTTAATTCAGTGCTTTCATTTTATAGATGATGAAAATGTAGACAAGTGACTTGCCCAAGGTCACATGGGCAGTAACTGTCAGAAATAAGGTGGTCAGGAAGAAACACTGTGCCAAGAACTTTTAAGCTTTAGTCATCAGGGGGGCACCACAGCCTAGGACAGCTTGATTCTTATGGATGGAAGGGAGAGGAGGCACAGGGGACTTAGATGGATGGGGGTGCCAGGAGGAGTGTGCAGGGCCACATATCTGACACCTTTGCCTTAGGGCACTGTGAGGTTAGCTGGCTTACCCAGTCACACAACCATTGTGTGTCAAAGGTGGACTTGAACCCAGGTCTTCCTAGCTTCAAATTCAGCTATCCACTCTCCCACGGCGCCTTTCACTACTGCATATTACAATTACGAATAAAGGAAAATTAAATCTTTTTGAAGTAAATACTTAAGATTATAGCCAGCATTTTAAGAAAAATCAACAGTTGCTACTAACCTTTCTCTCCAAGTGAAAGAACAAAGATTCATTCTTTAATACAGTATTTTCTAAAGCTACTACTTCCTAATAAAGGAACCTCACTCAGGCAGATTTGGCAAACTTATCAACCAGGTTGCTTCTCCATTACTTTCAAGGCTGGAAATTCTCCAGACTTAAGGCATATTGCTTCACTCCACCCCACAACCAAACAATAATGCTTCATTCTCTAAGAGCACACGATAGGATTAAGCTAATTGTGCAACATGTATAAGAGATAGAAAATTCAGAACTGGAAAGAACCAAGGACCTACAGAGTTCCATTAATAAACCTTTCAAGGCCTTTCAAAGTTAATCAGTATTAGTGAATAATTTAAAAAGTAGCTCTATGATAAAAGAATGCAATAAAAATTGTTGCCACTTCTGTGAGGCTGACTCGAATTAAGACTGGGTTCTCACAGTTCCTGAACCTGCAAATCCACAACACCACCCAAAGCAAACAAAAACAATACAAAAACCCAACTGTGATAACCACCAATGGTCCAATGTTAGTCCTCTCAAGTCTAATGGTCTGCCAGGCACAAACAAGCCTTTGGCTTTCGAGGCAGAGAATTTAAGCAGGGGGAATAGCAAATAGTATTATGAGTTCCCTGAAGGCAGGGACCATGCCTAGTCTTTAATATATAATTCATAATATGCCATACACTACCTGGGCCTTGGGTAAGTTGACTACTGACTCACATCAAATTGGTCAGAGGAGTGTCTGTTGAGCACTTTCTGACAGAAGCGGGAGCAGGAAAGCAGGAATGGAATGAGCATTTAAATAGTGCCTACTATGTGTCATGCTAAGCATGGTGCTTTACCAAATATTATCTGCTGTGAGGTAGGTGTTGTTATTATCCCCATTTTACAGGAAACTGAGGCAAACAGAGGTTGAGTGACTTGCCCAGAGTCACGCTGCTAATGTCTGAGGCTGGATTTGAACTCAGGTCTTTCTGATGCCAGGAACATCGCTTCTTTCCACCCCACTACAATCTGGCACCAGGGCCAGTAATTGGGATTCCCTATCAAGCAACTCTCTTGGGTGAGGGGCAAGGAAAGGAGAAAGATGTCAAGCAGCAATCTTAGCTGCTTGTAGCAGTAGAGAGAGTACAAAGTTTCTCTTTGGAGAAGGGCTTGGAAGAAAGGAGCAAAAAAAAGTGTACTCAGGGAGAGCAGGAAGCTATCTCTCCGTGAAGGTGAGATGAGGAAGGGAGGAGAGAGGGAAAGGACGGAAAAGAGCAAAGAGGGATGAGAAGGAACCAGAGGGTTAGGGAAGAAAGGAGAAAGAGCAGGAAGGAAAGAAGTCAGAATAAGAGGGAGGGAAGGGAGCAAAAAGGAAGGGAAAGAAGGAAAGGAAAAGTAGCAGGGAAGGAAGGGAAAGAAGAAAGGAAGGGAGGGAGAAGGGAAGGAAAGAAGAAAAGAAGGAGAGAAGGAAAGCAAGTAGGGAGGCAGGAGGGAAGGGAATGAAGGAAGCACGTAGGGAGGAAGGAAGGAAGGAAGGGAGAAGAAGCAGGTAGGGAGGAAAGAAGAAGGGAAGGAAGGAAGAAAGGAAGGAAGGTAAGGAGGAAAGGAAGTTAGGAGGAGAGGAAGGAAGGAAGGAAGAGAGGAAAGAGGAAGGAAGGAAAGGAAGGAAGGAGGAAGGAAGGAAAGAAAGAAGGAAGAGAGGAAAGGAAGGGAGGAAGAGAGGACAGAAGGAAGGAGGGAGGAAGGAAGAGAGGAAGGAAGGAAGGAAGGAAAGAAGGAAGAGAGGAAAGAGGAAGGAAAGAGAGAGGAAGGAAGAGAGGAAGGATGGAAGGAAGGAGGAAGGAAGAGAGGAGAAAGGAAGGAAGAAGAAAGGAAGGGAAGAAGAGAGGACGGAAGGAAGGAGGGAGGAGGGCGGGCGGGGGTCACCTGGAAGACTCGGCGCTGAAGCTGCCCCCGTCCAGCAGCCGCATCTTGCAGAAGAGGATCCCGTTGACGAAGGGCACGGAGGAGAGCTCCTCCAGCTCGAAGTCCACCTTAAACTTGAACTTCTTCTTCTTCATCATCATGAAAGCCATTCGCCGCGGAGCGGAGCGGGGTGTCGGCGGGGAGGAGGGGGGCGCGCCAGGGGCGGCCCAGGCGCCCCCTCAGCGCCCCGGATCCTCCTCTCAGCCCCGACCCATGGTCGCCGGCTCGCTGAGCCCGGAGCGGGGCCGGAGGAAGGGCGGCCGCGGCGGCCGCCTCTCGCCTCCGCTTCCCCGGCCGCTGGCGGGCCCCGGGGAGGCACCCGCCCGCAGAGGGGGCTCCGCCTGGCCCCGGGGCTCCGGCGGAGAGCGGCCCCGCTGGCGCCCGGGGTCCCCGCGGCGCGGCCACGGCCGCCCTGCCCGTGCGTGCGTGCGGACTCTCGGTTGGAGCGCCAATAACCGCCACGGCCGAAGCCGCGGCCGCCCGGAGCAGGAAGGGAGGGAGAGGGGAGACGGGGGGGGGAAGGAGGCGGACGGGCAGCGAGGCCGTTGCAGCTCCTCGGCCGCCGCTGCCGCCGCCGCCGCCGCCGCCGCCTCTCGCGGGGCCAGGGCAGCGCCCCCCAGCGGCCGCAGCGGGCGTCGCCGCGGGGGTGGGGCGGGGCGGGGCCTGGGGAGGGAGGCGAGGAATTAGGCGCAGGCGGACGTCTAGGCTGGGAAAAATAGCCTCCCGTAGCTTCTGCGCGGAACGTCTCGTGTCTCTCTTTGGGTTGAAATAGGCCAAAAAAAAAAAGGCAGGAAGAACCAAAAAAGAGCTTCCCCCTAACCACTTCCTTTTTGTCTTTGGCTTTTCATTTTCTGTTCGTGCTGCTCCTGGTCCCCACCCTCTCCCTTGCTCATCTGTTCCAGGGAGCGCCCTTGACTTGGAAAGGAGTCACGAGAAAGAGACAGAGAGAGGGGAGACAGAGAGGAGAGAGACAAAGAGAAAGAGACAGAGACCGAAAGGGGAGAGACAGAGGAGAGAGACAAAGACAGGAAAGAGAAAGACAAAGAGATAGGAGAGAATAAGAGAGGAGAATCAGAGGAGAGGAGAGGCAGAGAGGAGAGAGACAAGGAAACAGGAGAGAAAGAGGAGAGACAGAAAAAGACAAAGAGATAGGAGAGAATAAAAGGAGAATCAGAGGAGAGGAGAGGCAGAGAGAGGAGAGAGACAAGGAAACAGGAGAGAATGAGGAGAGACAGAAAGAGAAAGACAAAGAGATAGAGAATAAGAGAGGAGAATCAGAGGAGAGGAGAGGCAGAGAGAGGAGCGAGACAAGGAAACAGGAGAGAAAGAGGAGAGACAGAAAGAGAAAGACAAAGAGATAGGAGAGAATAAGAGAGGAGAATCAGAGGAGAGGAGGAGAGGCAGAGAGAGGAGAGAGACAAAGAGAGGAGAGACAGAGACAGAGGAAAAAGAGACAGACGGGAATGAAAAAGAGAGAGGAGAGACAGAGACAGTCAGGACAGAGAGGGAGAGAGAGAGAGAGAGCACTAGGAGCAAAACTTAGGGCTGTCTAGCCTAATCTTTTCGTTTTACAGATGAGGAAATCTGAGGATCAGACGGCCAAAGACACACATGAGTGGTAAAGGACAGAAACAAGACTTGAACCCAGACCTCCGAGACCAGAGCCCAAGGCCTTTCTACTATACCAAGTTGTATGACTAAACTGGGTGCCCTAGCCTTCAAATTCAAAACAGACAGGAGAGAACTCTTAAAGTGATGGGTGTGGGAGGTGGGGGGGGGCGCTCCCTCTGAAATCTGACTTTACCACATGATGAAAGATAGATGCTCATTAAAGTTACATTTGAAGGCAAAGGGATTTTCAAGATTTCTTGAGAACCCTGAGTGTTCTGCCCTTTGCAACCCCACCCCCAATTGCATTGATTGTTTCTCTCTGTCTCATGTATTAAAAATGCTAGCTTTAGGAAGGGGTGTGGTTATCATTATTAGGGCTAATACTGTGCTAGGATTAACCTAGCCTTTGTTTTGAATTTGCTGCTTCTGCTTTGAGAGCCTGCTGCTTGTTGCAGGTGACAGTGATTCTCAGTCCTTATACTGTGTGAGCTCATGCACCTGCCTGTCATTGTAGAGGGCAGCCTCTGGTGTGCTGTGCCCAGGTTGGGAAGATGCCAGCCCAGTTCTAGGGTCAATTGCTGTTGGAAATTTGACAGCTCCTGTGACTTTTCTGAGGTGAAACTGTTTCATGGTGGGTTTTTTTTTTCACCTTAAACTTGTTAGTCTGTGCTTATGAGCATTTTGTGATTTAAAGCATTTGTTTAATGAAGGAAGAAATAAATATATCACATAGCATTTATTAAGCATTGATTTTTATTAAGCCAGGCAATGTGCTGAGCACTAATGATACAAGACAGTTCATAATTGATTTACTTTATACTTTCAGTACCTTCCTAGAAGGGGCTCTTTAATACTTCTCCGGGAGTCTTTAGATTTAAGCTTAAACCTATCTTTTAAAAGATCTTCCTTTGGGCTTTGGGTGGGGCATAATGAGTCAGAGAATACAGGAAAAGCCTAGTCCAGGAGTGGCTGAAGGTTCCCCACTCCTGCCTAGTCCTTTCTCTTCTTTGGAGGTCCAGCACCCTCAGGATTGAACCTAGTCTGTAGCAGCATAGAGGTGTGGCCCTTTAGTGGGAAAGGCTCCCCACTCCCACCTCAGATTATGTAAACTATTCCGCCCTTTGCCTTATTTAGTTGTTTTCAGTGCTGACTCTTTGTGACCCCATTTGGGGGTTTTCTTGGCAAAGATAATGGAGTGGTTTGACATTTCTCCAGCTTGCTTTATAGATGGGGAAACTGAGGCAAACAGTTAAGTGACTTCTCCAGGGTCACACAGCTAGTAAGTGTGTGAGGCAAGATTTGAACTCAGGATAGAGTTGTACTCTATCCTTTGCCACCTAGCTGCCCATCCCCTTCTTCCATTACAATGTAAATTCCTTGTGGTCATGGAGCTAAGACCTAGCACATTGCTTTATACCTAGTGGATACTTAATAAGTACTTGGACTTCATTGAATTCTATTCAAGGGATGCTGTTAAGTGAGATGTCCATTGAGAAAACCAGGTTTACTTACCTTGGTTATGTACATTTTTTTTTCAGCTCTCTGCTTTAGAAAACCAATTATATATTGAAAATTCAGGTTTACAAGCAAAAACCGAAGTGGGATGAGGTGCAGAAGTAGGAGTGAGTTGCAGATAGGTTGCTTCGGCATACCCTTATCTGCCAAAAATACATTTCCCCCCAACAACAGTCCAGAAAGGTGATGCTTGTCCTTAGTACTGTACTCTGGTACTGAGATTGAGAGATGGACAGGAATCAATTAACGAGTATTTATTGATCTTAGAGCTAGAACTAAGCAGCTGCAAAGGGTCTAGGGTGGGGGAACCTATGCCCTTGAGGACACATGTGGCCTTCTAGGTCCTTCCTTTGGCCTTTTGACTGAGTCCAATTTTTATAGAACAAATCCTTTTTTTAAGGAGATTTGTTCTGTGAACTTTGGATTCAGTCGAAGGACCACACTTGAGGACCTAGAGGGCCACATGTGACCTCAAGGCTGCAGGTTGCCCACCCCTAGCAGCCAACCCTCTCTGAGCCTATGACAGACACTTTTTAAGTATGTACATATGTTAGCCATTTACATATTCTGGAGGTCATGATCTCAACTCCTGTCCCAGTGCTCATTGGTTTGGGACTCTCCTTCTCAGTGGAGACGAAGGTGAGGGACCCGGCAGAGTTGGTGAGAGATGAGAGCTAAGAGCTTCTGTTTTCAGCCAGTTCCCCGTTGGTGACGGTTTAAACAGCAGCTTTCTGCCTTTGAAATACGGGATAGACGAGGCCAACCTCACATCAGATTGCTGAAGGAAAAGACTCTGGGAAGACATGAGAGGGGCAGGCAGCCTTCATCATGTTTCTAGCCCCAGCTTGCTGTGTTTAGAGGGGTTGGAGAGTTTCTCCTCCAGGGAGATCCAGGATACTGTCTCTTGATTGAGCTAAGTTACCTCAATCCCAGTGGTGAAGCTCCTTCACCCTGTGCCTGGTATACTCCTTTTTATACCTTCTTTGATTTTTGTTTTGCTGTGATGTGGATAAATCAATTTCTTTGCTGTTCTCTATGTGTACAATTCATTGTAGAAGGGGGTATTACGTGGGGAAGGGCTCAAGCTCTGAATACGGAGCTTGGGGTCCCTTATCCTCCAAATGACAAAGCAATTAAAAGTCAGCTGGAATCCGATTGTACCCCCTAGATTAATAATATTTAAAGGAGCAGATAGATATAATTCCAGTCTCCGTACCCCCCTCTTCCTCTGACAAAAACAGATAGTGGATTCTTGCTTCATCTTCTGGCAGGAATGAAAGTCTCCCTTTGACAAGGGTGGGGGTGGAAAGCTCTTCCTTGGAGCCACACAAGGACAGCATCCTCTGTGCCATACACAAAGCCTCACTATACTCTTGAGGCCCACTCTCTCTTTATCTCTGCATAGGTAATTATTAGGCAATTAACTATTACCTTTTTTTGAAACCTATTACCTAGGTTTCAGAGATAATAAGTTGGAAAGATATGGAATAATCGCCATAAACTAGGGTAAACTAGGGTGGGGCCCAAAGCGCTGGATCAGAAAGAATTCCACCCAAAATAACAAATATAAGGGTATGTGTGGAGGGAGCAGGGCAGAAAAGGTTCTTTGATCTAAAGAGCTTGGAATGTGGGGCTGAGAATCTCCAGCTAGAGAGGTAAAAAGACTTTTACCCTGGTCCTAGGGTGAAAGTGTTTAAGAGCCAGGAAATACCTATGTATAGACTTTAAGCTAAGAAAGCACCACAACATTTGGTCTTTCCTTAAGGAAGAATTTCAAGTGACGGATTTCAACTGATTTAGAAGCTAGAGAAAGCAAATCATTTAACCAAGTATCCTGGCCTAGGCAGCTGCCACAGGTGGTAGAGTGGATCTCCAGTTAGGATAGACTCGTGTTCAAATCCATCTCCAAACGCTTACTAGCTATGTGACCCTGGGCCAATCACTTCAGTCTGCCTCCGATTCCTCATCTGTGAAATGGGTATAATAACAGCACCTTTCTCCCAGCACCAACTCTGTCCTGTCCTTATCACTATGCTAGGAATGTGCTTATCACTGTGGAGCATGAGAAGTAAACGGAGACAAAG